GACACCTGAGTGGAACCTTGTCAGATGAGCCTGCATCTCACAGAGGAGGCAGCCAAGGGCATTCTCAAAGGGGGAGATTTGCCCAAAGGTGGGAGTAATGAAGAGACAGCATAGTTCATCCAAAAAGGGTGAGTTTAGCGATGGAGGTGCAGGGGAAAATTAGTGATGTGGGAATGATGGGTGCTGAAATGAGAAGATAAATTAGAAAATAAATAAAAGAAGTACCATATACTGTGGTAAAGAATTTAGCTACTATCTGGAAAGCCATGGTTTCCCAAACCTTAGTAATTCAAGTATTATTTCCACAACCTGTGTTATAGCCAACATCTACCTGTGTTAGTTTTGCTTTACCTGTATACCACTGGTACGATTATTTATTTAACATTTTTCTAAAGTAACTTACTTTTAAACACTTGTTTTTGAAAGAAACTTTATGTCAATGTTGTAAATAGAAAACCAGAGTCACTTGCAATCATTTCAAGGTCATTATTAAAATGAATCTGATGAAATTAAAATATTCCTGTTAACTCTTTACCTATGAAAGCCTCTGAGCCAATGGCCTGTGGTCTCATTATTCTAGACAGAGATTGTAAATTTTGGAGAGCAGTTAAAGTCATTGTAACACCAAATTGTGACACCATTCTAAAACTTAAATTAATGAGGAGGAAGAAACAGAGTTGAAAGGTATATAGCTTCCTCGTTCTCTCAGTCAGGGGTATTTAGCATGGGTCCTGTGTGCCATCTTAAATACTGCATTCCACACAGAAGGGAAACACTCTTTTAGGCAGTCAGGGCCACCTGGGGTTTTTGAGCTAAGAAATAACAAAATCCAGACTTATCTGAAGAGGGGCAACTCAGGACCAGAAAGGAAGACCAAAGAAGTAGGTAGAACCTTGCAGAGGCTGTGGGAGGGTCCCAGTGTGGTCTCGTCAGTGTCATAGGGTGAAGGAAAGGGGCTTGAGAGAGATGTAGGATCAGGCCACTGAGGACTTGGTTCTTGAGGAATGAGGGGCAGGGGTCAAGTTAAGGGAAGGGGTCCGCCATGTCTTGGAGATGGATTGCTTGGGAGACTGTGTAAGTGGCCATGTGATCCAGGCCAGGTTTACCAGGAATTAGGAATACATTAGGAAAAACAGAGTAGAGTGTGTGTGTGTGTGTGTGTGTGTGTGTGTGTGTGTGTGTTGGATGAGGAGGGGAGGGAGACAAAGCAGGCAAGGGTGGAGAGGGATATGACCCCTGGATCAGAATATGCCGCCTGCCATAAATACTTGCACATCCTAGGCTCACATTAAATGCTTGTTAAATACTCATAGATGGCAAAGTACGGATGGTCAGCAGGCAATTGGAGATATTTTGCTGGTGATCAGAGACATCACAAATGCTAGTTAGATTGCAAGAGATCATTATTGCCTATACATCAGCCTCCAACACATTTCCATTTACCTGACCATTTTAGAAAATGTGTGACATGATTAGGCAAACAGCTTTAAGGTATGTTAGACATATTTACTTTTGTAAGATGTTAAAAATGAATCCATTCAACCAAAAGTCATTAAGAACCTGCTTATGTAAGGCATTTTTCTGGATGCTTTGAGGGATAGAGAGATAAATTAGACACAGACCCTGTTCTCACAGAGCTTCTAAAGATCTAATAATATAACAGATAAAATTTTCAGGAATTTAAATTTTGTTAACATGTGAAGTGTTTATTCATCATTTCCAGAAAAAAAATTTAACCTCAAAATTTTCCTACTAACCATAGTTAGTCTGGATTTTATTTTCGTATATTATAAAAAATGTATTATGGCATTGGGATAGAACAATGATATAATTGAAATTTTGGGTAGACTTATAAATTTAGAAGTGAAAATCTTGCTAGTTATTAATGGCCCCTTTTCTTGTGTGTGCTTAAAACACCCATTTGCCCAGCTTAGAAGAAATAAACTAATTGAGTTTTGTCTTTTCTACATACATAAAATCGCCCTTCTCAGGTAAATATATGATATAGTAATAAATTGGGGCGTTCTCATGAAAAGCTGTTAAATAATCCATTTTACACCACTGGGATTTTTTTTCCCAGTGGTCTAGACACAGATTAGAAACCTCTTTCTAGAAACCACAGACTAGATTTCACTTTCAGCCTAAAAAAGACTCATAGGTTTGGACAAGGAGAAGGACAACAAGCTTAATGTTGATGCCCCTTCTTCAGTTTCTAGACCCTTCTGTGGAAAGAAGTGTTTTCATAAGACACAGACAGAATTCATTTCCATTGAGCATTCTTAATGGCTCCTGTCAGAACAAAACAGCTGGGAAACATATGGTATCCATTTCCCTGTATCACTTGGAAAAAATTTCACATGTAAATAAAGCCAACATAAAAGAGTAGCCCTTTGAACCCACGACCTTATACAATACATAAATATATTGGTACAAAGCACTCGTTGTATTGGCCACTAAGTTTTGTGGCTTTAAAAATCCTTTATTACATTGTGCAATGCACATTTTCAAGAAGTTCCAAAGTAATGAAGGTAATTGGCAAAAATATTAGCAAACAACATACCTAATAGTACGTATGTATCTCAGAAATATAGGTATATGTTTACATATATATATACACACACACACATACACACACATGTATACATATATATATACATATATATATATACATATATATATATATATATAAGACTATATTTGAAGCTTTTCAGAAAATTGATGGGCAAAATTAAAGGCATATTTACACATTATAAACTCTATGTCCATTATCTCTGTGCTGTTTTAAATAAGTAAGTAACCATGTGTTCTTGAAAAGAAGAGCAAAAGGCTTGGCAGAAATTTCTGGCAGACATTAGTTTTTCATAGCTTTACATTTTGGGGGAGAAAAGGACATATAAAAGATAGAAAACTTTTAAATTTATAATGGGCCAACTGGAGTTAGTCTTTGCCTTTGCATATTTACATTTCAAAAATAACTTTAGAAAGTCCAGCTCTTATTGGTAATTATCAGTCCTCTGAGTTTATTAACAAAACTTTTGTTCTCTGTGAAATTCAGCTGTAAATCCCTTAGAAGGATGCACTCTGGACATTTAAAAAGAGATTTAATGTGTTGTGCAAAGTGAGATTCAAATTCAAATACAAGTATTTCTTAATTGACTGCTCTGTGCCAAGCACTGTGTACAACTGAAAACGAGAGCCAACAAAAGAGAAGAGAGGCAGCAGCTTAAGGCCATCTAGATACCTTCTTTCCCTTCTGGAACATTCCCTGTTAATACTTGTTCCTTATTGGACAGAATCCAAGCTTCCCCCCACAGCTCATAATATTTTCTCCTTAGATTCTAAAATGCTAGAGCTAGAAAGGCCTCAGAGGAGCACCGCTTAGTACAAACCCTCCGAAACCCCTGCAAAATGGAAGTCCATGTTGGAGAAAGAAGCCACCAACAGTTACATGGCATTCAGGCTCAGTACCTTCACTCTCACCTCCTTAGCTTGGGTTCCAGAGCTTCTCTGAATCCTTTTAGAATATATCCTAGCAGGAGGGAGAATGACCAGCGGTCTAAATTTTTGGAACTTTTAATAATTTGTATGCCACTTTCACCCAAAAAATCAGTGGTAGCTAGGGACTCTTGCAGAAGTTACAGACCTTTATATAACCCCGTCTGATGTTTTGTTAGTCTTTGTTCCCAATTGTAAAGAACAAACACAAAAGCAAGCTTTGGGGTTAAATTCTTCCCACCTGCTGTTGTTCCAGGAAGAGGATGGGTAGGTGAGAGGTTCCTCCTTGGAGGGCATGTCCTGAAACTTCACCCCTTTGATGGGAGATGGTGTAAACTAAGTGGAAGGGGAGTAGGAATCCATAAATCACTGGCCTCCCAATTTTCAGGGGTGCTAGGTCATCTGTCATCTCATAAGGGGAGTGTCCCAGAGAGGAAGCAGCATCAGCATGGCGGAGGAGACTGTTGTTGCTCCTCCATCCTGCACGGAGAAGACAAGGTGGCCTTTCATATGAGGCTGACTGGGAGAGGTGGTGGTTCTTATCTTTCACCTCCAGATGTGCTGCTGTTTCACTTTACACCCCATCTCAACCAGACACTTACTCAAGTGCAGAATGCAAACCATACAATGTTTATCTAAGCTTTGCACAGAAATGAGAAAGAAGAAAAAAAAAAAAAACACTCGTCTGCCTACCTTACCCTCCCTTTGCAACTTCCTTCTCCTCCTGTTTGTCTCCAGCTTTTCAAACAATGGAGGGTGGCACTGAATCTGAAAGAGCATTTTCCATTGTGAGGGGCCAGTGGATTATGTTGTTGTGTCATATGCCAGAAAGCACTATGAAATGCCCCTGAATGATGACTGACTGGGATACTCGGTCTAGGGTGGGCTTATCTCCCATGGTCCAATCAACTCCTGATCACTCCTTTCCTTTCTGTTCTTTCCCTAATCCATCTAACAAATCACCTAGTGATGACCCAATAGATCACAGTTTGCCCAGTATTAAACAACTTACCCCTTCTTTATATGGGACTTCTTAAGCTTTAGGGGTATACATATACTTGTGTATGGGTGTGTGCATGGGTGAATGTGTGTGCATACATCCCTTCTCTCCCTAAATTAGTTTGGAAGTCTGTTTTACACAAAGGACCCTATCCTCCAATTCTGTTTTGCAGGGTGGTGACAAGTATCAAAATATTGTCGGGAAGGTGTAACTATCCAGGGAATAAACCTAAATATCTGCCTGGGTTTGTTTTCTTTAGTATCTACTTTTACCATTACTGCTACTTTAATGAATTTTGAGCCAGTATAGCATAACTTTCTTTTACCTTTCACTGTTTTCCAGTGGTAAGTATGAACTGTGTGTTGTATGATAGACATTCTAAGTCATTCCCTTACACAAGGGCTTACTTTGAGCATAACTTGAGTGGATAATGTCTGCCTGAATGGCCAAGATATTTTTAGTGTTTCAATTTAATAGTCTCCTCTTTTCATTTATTTTCAAACAGTTTCTAGCTCTAGCTGGAATTGCAGCGTCTCAACTCTTATTACAAACACGCAGAAGCCCACAGGAATCGCTGATGTGTACAGTAAGTTCCGCCCAGTGAAGCGAGTTTCCCCCCTGAAACATCAGCCAGAGACTCTAGACAACAATGAAAGCGATGACCAAAAGAACCAGAAGGCAGAGTACCAGAAAGGAGGTGATTCTGCCCCATGCCCCCAGCCTGAGGAGTTCAGCCCTGGAGACAGAGAGGGCGGCCCCCAAAGTAAGGTCACAGAGTCCAGCACGTTACTGGGCGAACTGGAGCATTATGACCTCGACATGGATGAGATTCTGGATGTGCCTTACATTAAATCCAGTCAACAGCTTGCCTCTTTTACCAAGGTGACTTCAGAAAAAAGAATTTTGGGTTTATGCACAACCATCAATGGCCTTTCTGGCAAAGCCTGCTCTACAGGAAGTGCTGAGAACTCGCCATCCAGCATGATGCCATTTTGTGTTCTTTCTCCTGTGAAAAGCCCTCACTTGAGAAAAGCATCATCTGTCCTCCGGGACCAGCAAAAGCTCTCCACCGAAGATTCGGAGAGCTCGCCTCCCCTGGTTAAATGTGGGTCTACATACGAGCCTGAAAGCCAGAGTAAGGACTTCCTCAACAAGACCTTTAATGACCCTCATAGTCGAAAAGTTGAGAAGCCGATGCCTGACTGCCAGCTTAGGGCCTTGCATCTCCCGTCCTCAGCAACAGAGCCCAAACTAGATGAGCAGATCGGTGGCATGAACTGGACCAGCTCCCAAGGCCCAGAAGAAAGGAGCGAGTATCTGAAAAAAGTGAAAAGCATCTTGAACATCGTTAAAGAAGGACAAATATCTCTGCTGGTAAGTATGATTCAGCAAACATATGAATAATTTACAGACTCCCATTTTTACCCGTTCTATTCATTTGTAACAGAATGATGATACTGTTTAATGTTTACTTATGGATTTAGTTAAGTGACTTGACTTTCGAGTTTTAAAACAAAGTTAGGAGGTTAACGCTGTGCAAAGACTAAAACAAAGTTAGGAGGTTAACGCAATGCAAGACGAGTGGCTATAGAGGGAGTGTTATTTCACTTTAACTTTGTATGAATTCAGCTGGAATAAGGACACTTAATCTAAAATAAAAACAAAACACAAAAGCCTAGCACTTTCTTTAACTTGAATCTTAATGTCTTTCTTTTTGCTTTTCTAATGGTTTCCAATGCCCTCACCCAGTTATTTGTGGGGATGTCAGTTCCTTGCCGATGGTGGACCTGGGAGATACGGGAACAGAGGGCCTTCTGTTTTATCCTGATCATTATTCATAGGAGTTGGAGCAGGATTTTGGAAAGCTTGTGCAGATAGAATCTTATCCTAGAGCGTGATTGGCCTCGTGACCCACATGGAGATCTCACTAGCTCTGTATGTCTAGGAAGCCTGAAGAGCTTTTCCAAAGGCTCTGGACAGAGTAACATGATGTAACAAAAGTCTGCTCTGCTTAGGCTCAGGGAGCTGAACTGAAATCACACTCCATCTGCCTACATTGTTCTTTTCTGGCTTCCAGACTTGGATCACACAGTAGCGAGCCTGGGCTAATGCTATGATGTTAATTAAAGCCTCGTTCAGGAATAGCATTACATCTTGGCAGTGCGATTCTATTTAGGGTAAAGTCATGCATAGATATGTACATTGTGCTTGGTCTGTTATTACAAATCTTATTGTTATAATAGGATGATATGATTGAATAGATTTGCTAAATAAAGTTATAGTTTTTTGTGGGTTTTTTTTTTGTCCTGAAAATGTCTTTTCCATCTCTCTTGGCTCTTCCTATTTCTCTTTGGTTCATTCCTTCCTTTTGTCCTTCCCATGTTTTCATGCCTCCCAAATGATAACACGTCTCCATTTACAGTCTTTATCAACCAGCTCATACTCAGGGGATGAAACTCACTCGAGGTGAGAAACACAAAGGCAGGTGGCCTCCTGATGTCCCCAGGAGTTTGTTTGGGAATAAAAGTGTCTAGAGGTACCCAGGGGAGCTCTAGTAGCAGTCACTATGTAGCTTGTAGTTAAAGCCAATTCTCCATAGTTCCAGGCAAAACAGATGGTTGAGACAAGTAGTTCACTCATTCAGAAAACCTACAACAGGGAACATCACACAGCCTGGCTCTCAGGACTTAGCAGCTGAGTGGAAGAGATGAACAGGGAACCTGCCAGTTACCATAAATGTCATCACAGTTCTTTGGAAGCCAGTTTGGAGCCTCCCCAAGCTTGCTGACCTATCCCTGTCTCTGTGTCTCACATGACTATAAGTCTCTTGAACATTCACATTCTTAAAGCGTAGTAAAACACAAAAATGTAATGGAAAATCATTAGAAACAATAGCAAGGAATTCTGACTTATTAGATCTCCATGCCTGCCACCAGAGCTTCTGGAAGTTCACCTCTTCTTCCCAGTCCCCAGAGCAAACCCCCCACCCCCAGCATCTCATTCTGCTGTATTGACTAAGCTTTTTAATCTTGCTATTTGTACAGCCACACCTAGCTGCCGACAATCTAGACAAAATTCATGACGAAAGCGGAAACAATCTCTTACACATTGCCGCGTCGCAGGGCCACGCAGAATGCCTGCAGCACCTCACTTCTTTGATGGGAGAAGATTGCCTCAGTGAGCGAAATGCCGAGAAGTTGACTCCGGCGGGCCTGGCCATCAAGGTAACTGGTTGGGGGCTGGGTTCTCCACTGCTCAAAGTTAGAGTTCCATTTTCTAAGATTCCTAGTGAGCTAATGTGCTGGGATGGAGAGAGAAAAGAGTGATATACCAAGCAAACAGCAAATGAACATACTACATTTAAGAGATGAATCGTTTCAGTCGCTAACTGCTTTGAGATTTTGAGACTGCAGGCCAATTTATTGTGCAATGAGGGTGAGCTTCACATCAGCTAATAAAGAGGAAGGGAGATGACCTATTGAGGTTCTAAGAACTTTTGTTATTCACGGAGACTGCAGTTTAGGCTCTGAACCACACCTGGATCTATTCGAGACTGCTTCATTTTTTCCTAATGTGAATATAATGAGCAAAACAAATGAGGACAAGGTGTATTTTAAGGGATGATAGCTCTCAGGAGCATTCCAGGTAATGAAGTGGGCTTCTCATGGATCACATTGAAGTTTCAATGTCTTCAGGATCAGGAGTTGTTTAGCATATAAGTGCTGAGTTTGAGTTTAGCTCTTACAGAGCACAGTATGCTCTCTGTCAAAAACTACACAAATTAATGCCGAGTGGGATAAGTTAAAATGTAGAAAGCGTGATACAGGAAGACCTGGTATTTTATAGCACTGCAGTGAGTGCCTCTGTAAAAATATATAACACATCGCTAGAAAGTTAGCTATCAAACTAAAATTACTTTTAAGGTCTTTGGTGATGTGGAATTCCGTTATATTTATCAAGAAGCTAGAAATGAGGTTCAGGGACTACATCTTGTGCCTCTACATATGTACTTTGCTTTACATAATAATGTCTTCTGAAAGCTGAATAATCATAATTTTTATAAGTAGAATTATATTGAAATGTTATTAGAGGAACTTGCTGGTTAAAAAAATCTACTTGCTAATTCACTGAAGAACATATAACATTTGAAAAACAAGTAATTGGTACCTTACCTCTAATGTAGGCAACTCTGAATTTTTGAATCTTTACTTACCATTCAGTAAAATTTTATATATTAAAAGTTGTCTTCTATTGTATTTAGTTTTACTCAGTGGTAAGGTATTATTTCAAAGATAGTGTAAAAAATAACTTTTTGATAAAGTAAAAAAATCTATGATGCTAGTAGATATCATTTTCCTTTAGTTGTGAATGATGCTATATCAAATTAAAAGCTGACCTGCCAGCAGCCATCATGAAAAAAGAGAAGTCAAATGTGAAGTTGAGGTTCAGCATAGTTGATTTCAACAATATGTACTGAGTCCACTGGGTACTGTGTTAGATGATGGTAATACAAATTTGAATGCGCCATAGTCCCTTTCCTTAAGAAGCTGATAGCCTGGTAGATAAGGCAGGTGAGTTATCAGTAATTCAAGTGCAGAAGGCAAATTCAGGATCTAGCCCTATGTCAGAATCCTGTAGGAAGATAAGAGTTGGGTCTTGTCCTCAATGGACATGTGTCAGTGATGAATAAAAAATTCTTGTAGTGCCAATGAACATTGACCTTAAAACACTGTTTCAGCATTTACAAAATATTATAGCTTAATAATGTATAGTTTTCCTGACTAATGGTCGATTGTTGACTATATTCTACCTACCTAATAGGATAAAAAACTTTTTCTTAATTTATATGCCCTAGTACTGTTTTGATAGATTCAGAATCTTCAGAGTAGGGAGATACATAAGACACTTAGTGGTCATTAAGCCAACTCTTGGTATAAACTCCTCCTGTGGGATCCATATTAAGTATTATTCATCCTTGAACTCCTCCAGTGAACAAAGTATTGCCATCATACAATCAGCGTGCAAACTTAGCACATTTTGTTTGTTTGTTTGTTTGTTTGTTTGTTTGTTTGTTTGTTTTAATGAAGAACCCATACAAACCCATAAGATACAAAAGGTTTTATAGCTTTGGAGTCTCAGGCTTTTCATCCTTTTTTTCTGGACAATGATTTGAAAAATGGAAGTGTTCTTCTGTGTCTTTGTGTAACCTAGAATTTACAAAAGCAGTAAATACAAGTTTTTTATAAAAATGGCCACCCCTTTTAGAAATCTGTCCTGATACATGTCCTATTTCAGTCCATTCAGTGTATTTTGATGGACAATTAGTACACTTGAGAGACTCCTAAGAAACCATCATTCTTCTGTTTTAGGACATTGTTGTGAACACCAGTAACTGCCTGGTGGTGTTTCACCTCATTAAGTACAGTCCTGGGAGCGCTGCTGTCATTAAAGACAAACAAACTTGGTACAAATGAGCAGAAGTTGCTCAGATCATATCACTTGACTGACAGGAAGCAGAGGCATAGATAGGGTATCAAATAAAAAGATTACCTGAGTAAAAGGACCTTTGAAGTCATACCAAGGCTTAAGAACAACTCTCTCCCACTCATAAACTTAAATGGAACATAATAAATTCTTGCCAGTTACGTGCAGAATTTATTGAGTGTTTCCTGGGGGACCCAACACTAGATACTCTAGAAGTTCAGGGTGTTATTGAGTGCCCTTTGAAAACAGTTAAGCAAAATAATTGGAAAGAAAGATAAGTGAAAGCACTGTATTTTCTAAAATGGGGCCAGAACAAGAAATTACTTTAGGAGCTAAACAGAGATGGAATGAAATAACCTTAATTCCTTTTTTATTTCTCATTCAGTCCTTCTGATTAAGCAAAATTGAAAATGTTGGTCTGGTGAGAAAATGTTTTCAAACACAACCTACTGACATTCCTTTTTAACATACAGTGAATGACCCAAGGCTCAGAGACTTGAGCAGGCAAAAATCCCCCACTAGAATTTAATAACATTTTTTGTTTTCTTGGGATTTCTATTTATGGCAAGTGATACTGCTTAACTCACAGCAGTGATATATTTCTTTCTGCCCTTCTAGCATCATTCTACTTACTTAAGTGTAGGCTCCTTGAATAACTAGACCTAATAGACATCTAACAAAACATTGGACGAAATAACAGTAGAAGTCTTCTCAAGTGCACATGGAAAATTCTCCAGAATAGACCATATCCTAGGCCATAAAACAGGCCTCAATAAATTTAAAATGACAGAAATCATGCAAAGTATGTCCTTCAACCATAATGGAATGTAGGTAGAAATCAATAACAGAAGGAACTTTAGGATATTCACAAGTATATGGAATTAACTCACTCTAAAATAATCATTGTATCGAAGAAATTACAAGGAACATTGAAAAATATTTGTAGATGAGTGAAAATGCAACATACCAACATTTAAAGATGCAGCTAAAGCAGTGCTTACTGGGAAATTTATAGCTGTAAATGCCTATGTTAAAAAAGAAAAAAAGAAGAAAGATCTTAAAGCAATAGCCTAACCTTCTACCTTGAGAAACTAGAAAAAAAGAAAAGCAAACTAAATTCAAAGCGAGTAGAAGAAGGAAATTTTAAAATTCAAGTGGAAATCAATGAAATAGAAAATAGAAAAACAAGAAATAAAATCAACAAAACCAAATTTGGTTCTATGAAAAGATCAGACAAATTAATAAACCTTTAGTTAGACCAAGAAAAAAAGAGAGAAGACTCAAATTATTAAAATCAGAAATGTTGCCTTATATGTCTGTGTTCGGTATAAATACCAGTTTATATAAACTGTCATGCCTAGGAGATGCTCAATATGGTTCCTTTTCCTTTCTTCATTCAGAGGGAATGAAGTATATTGTATCAGTGGTTTATTGTTGTTGTTGTTGTTTAATCCTGGTAGAAAACATTTGGCACGTTCAAATTGTATGATTTAAGGAGAGTCTATAATGAAGGATTTATACAGTTAAAGACTGTGAGTGGGATATAGGGGGCCCAAGAAGGAAAGTGCAGTATCTGGGGATAACACCCAGTACACTTAGCAGCCAGCGCCTGAAGGGGCTGGGGAAGGACATGAGAGAGAGAGAGCTGAATAGAAGGACTGGCTGACTTTTGACCTTTGACTGGTGGAGGGACTCAGGTGGCCAGTGGCAACCCCATGGCAGTGGAGGGATGGGAGAGGGGGCAGGTAGGGATGAGCCAGGAGCAGAGAGGACCTCAAACTTCTTCTTTCCTGATCCCCGGCCATCCTTCTCCATCAGCCAAACCCAGCCAGGGAGCAGGGGAGCCAGGGCATACATATCAGCCTCCCCTGGCAGCAAGGAGGGCAAAAGAGGGAGAAGGTAGATCTGAATAGGGCACCGGGAAGCTATTCAACACACACCTGATCGTGCTAGATATTCCGTGGATAGTTGGAAGTTGACTACTTGAAATTCCATAGGAGTAAATGAAGAATGAGCCGATTACCTCCTCCGTCTTGTTTTCAGATCAGACTTCCCTGTCTTCATGCCCACAGTGGCTCTTTTCTCCTGTGCTAAGGTCCCATGCTGTGCAAACCAGGGAGGCAGCTGAATATCTCATTTGTCTTATAGAGCAATTGTGAGAGCACCGAGGTAGCACTCTGATAGTATCAGGTAACAAGTACTGTGTGGTTAGTAAGCCACCATGTTTCATCTCATTTGATCTGCACAGGAACTTTATGAGGTAGTTACCCCTAACCTTGCTGTTTCACAGAGGAGAAAATTGAGTATCAGAGAGGTGAAGTAACTCGCTCAAGGTCTAGTAACTGAGTGGTGGATTAAGGATTTAAATCCATTCCACAGGCTGGGTCTTAGTAGGTTATGTAGGTCACAGCTGCCCCCCTGGTTGTGCAATGTGGGACCCGGGCACTGGAGAAAAGAGCTGTGGGCACAGCCGGGGAAGGCTTCAGTGAAGCAGCATTGCAGTACGATAGGATTATTTTCTCTTTCTTTATTTTGGAATCCTAACATTTTGACTTCGCACAGGGAAAAAGCCTATTCTAAGAGTTAATGGATAAGCAAATTGTGATCTACTCAGACAATGAAATACTTCTCAGCCATAAAAAGGAACAAACTATTCCTACAAGCAGTTGCTTGGTTAAACCTCAGAGGCATTATGCTGAATGAAAGAAGCCCTATTCAAAAGAGTACATACTCTATCTTATGGTGGCAGAAATCGTATCAGTGGTTGCCTGAGGCAAAGGTGAGGCGGAGTTACAGTTACAAGCAAGTATGTACCATATTTTGCTGTGTATAACGCATACCCACGTTTTGGCCCAAACTTTCAGGGGAAAAAAATCTTTCATTTTGACTTTTTAATTCAAATTTTTATTTGTGTACATTTAGGTACTTATAAATAATTATAAAGGAATTTTAGCATTTATTTCTTAACATAAAATGGTACAAGAAATTTTATGTAACAGATAATTACAAAACACAAGAGCATATACAAGGTACAAGAAATTTTATGTACTGGTAACAAATTTACGATATTTATGCATCATAGAAGGCCAAGAACTCTTCATCATTGCAAGTTCGTCATAAGTTCAACAAAACCAATTCTCATATTCCAGGGTATTATTTTGCATACGGTCATCATTATTGATTTCTTTACACTTTTAACTCATAAGCAAAAATAAAAGAAGTAAAAACATTTATATAGATACGGAATTAGTACTACCAATGTATTGTATAATAGCATTCTTATTTTTCCCTCACAAATTTGGGCAAAAAGTGCACATTATACATGGCAAAATACGGCATTTATCAGAATTCATCAAGCTGTATACTTAAAAAGGGTGTATTTTTATAGTATGTAAATTATACCTCAATAGAGTGATTTTAAAATAACTGATTAAACTTATGAAAATGTATTTAAGTAAATTCTGCGTTGATTTAGAGCCAAAACTACATATCAGAAATATAATAGGTGATATACCTATATTGTAAATAAATTAAGACAAATATAAAAGCCAAAATTCATGTGATTTCTTGCCTTGGTAAAATTACCATCTACAAACTACTTTAAAACCTGAATTACCTTGAATTTCTTTCTTTTTTTTTTTTTTTTAAATCTAGAATGGTCAGTTGGAGTGTGTACGCTGGATGGTGAGTGAAACAGAAGCCATTGCAGAATTGAGTTGTTCTAAGGATTTTCCAAGCCTTATTCATTACGCAGGTTGCTTTGGCCAGGTATGAAAAAAATTTTTATTATCAGATTTGTAAGCAATCATATTCACTGCAGTATTTGTAATGAAAAAATATTTTAAACAACCTAACTATTCTATAGTAGGATATTGTATAAATAATGAAGCTACATCCATATGATGAAATTTTATGAGAAAATGTTCATTATATAATATTTAGTTAAAATGTATGATACAAAACTGTTCCTGTAATTTGGTACCAAATCTGAATTTTGGAGAGAGAGAAAGAAATAGGTAATAAGACTAGAAAAAACTGTCAAGACATGTTTATAGTAGTTATCACTCTATAACTAAATACTTCTTTTGTATTTTCCAAATTTTCTACAATACACATTTAACTTCTGTCAAAAAGAAAAATGATAAATATTCTTGAACCCAAAATTAAGAAGAAAACCTTTAATAAGAGAGAAATTGAGGAAATCTCCCTCCGTTGAAGATGAACAAGCACGCTAACTAGATGAGTCTCAATTACAACCAATTTCTACATTAGGAAAACCCAGTGTGAGTAATTGATGTGCACAAATCACTATCTACTGTATGAAGTGAAAAATCCTCAGTAACTTTCTTGGATGGGGATGAATATAAATTATCTTTTTAAAAAATGAAACCACAAAATGCCAATCTCAGTCTTTAAAAAATAAAGTCAGCACTGTATTAAAATAGATTTAGTCATATTTGTTTGTGGCAAAGAAAATTGCTTCTCTTGCATATAACTGTATCCCCTTTGGCTTCATACACTTTCCCCAGTGGCAGTAAATTGTGGTATTGTCAACAAGAGATTATGCTTTTTTTTTTTTCCCAAGCATGACAATCTCAAGTTCAAAAAACTGACTTGGAGAATATTACTAAAGCCTTTCTTTAGTAGGTGATGTTAGGTGATGGTTTATTTTGTGCCATGGTAACATAAATTTATGTGTATGTATATATAAAAATATAACTATTTCCTGTATGTACCAGGCACCATGCCACTGGAATTTGTGTACATTTTCTGACTTATTCCTTAGTATAACAGCCCTATTAGATCATGTTGTTTTTATCTCCATTCTATAGATGAAGAAACTGAAGAAAGTTCAGTGACTTGCACGTGGCCTCATGGCTAGTAAAGAGCAAAAACACTGGATCTCACTCAGGTCCTGTGACTTCAGGGCCAGATCTTCTTTTGTCTCCATCTGTGTACATAGCTTGTGTAACTTTCTTACTACAGTGGCGTTGATATAGCTGAAGGAGACTTTGGGTTTTTTTTACAATTTTGTCTAACAGCACATTGTGATACGTATATGGAACACCTTACACAGCTCATTGAAGAAGTGAGTGCCTGTACTAAATTTATTAAATGAAGAAAGGAGCAGGAGAACATTTAAAATTTGTAAAAGCCACTGTCTTTGAAATGATTACTCCATTTTCTTTGTGGATTGTACAGCCATGGTAGCCTACACACAGTCGTAATAGTTAATAAGCATTTGCTAAGGATGCCCCTTTTTTTTTCTTATCCTGGCAAAGGGCAAAATACAATTTTCGAATGACCCAAAGAATTTAATCACTGCCAATCTTTATAAATACTTTTCAGTATAAAATAGAATTTTATTTATTCTCAAATTGTCAGAATAATTGTTTCATTCCTGATTTAATTTGCTTATAATAAAGCCTAACAAGGAATTTTGATATTAGTGGAAAGGCTGCCTGCACTTTTGGTAGAGTTTGCCAAAGAAAAGGAGGAAAGGATCGCATCACTGTTCTGAGACTCTAAGTAAATAATGGGGCATCCAGCATTCTTTGTCTTGGGAAATGTTGCTTTTATATGCCGGTTTCTCTATTCAGCTCTCACAGTGGGTTTCTCATAATTTGGAAGCTATTGGGACAGAACAAAAGAACGTGCCCTTTCTGGGACTAGTTGGGTGACAGCGTGGCTTACTGAGTTCAACTTGACGAAAATAACAGAAATGAGTAGCCTATGGGAAGAGCAGTGTCGAACATTTGCTTCATGCCAGCATCAATCTTCAGGTTGTTATTTCAAGCTGATAAGCATTTTTAATGACCTAAAGCATGGCTTTGAGCAAGGCAGTCCAGCAGAGCCCTTAGGATACATTCCTATCCAAGTGGAAAATGTAGAAACCCATTAGAACCGTAAATTCTGTCCAGCCACCCTACATCCGCTGCAGCCACTTATGTAACAGATAACCTGTGGAGATGCTGAACTTGGAACCATGACAAGGCTAATATTTTCACAAGGAAGACTGTTATTGAACAGCTTTCTAATGGATTCAGCACATGCAAGTTTTTCTCTATCAAGCAGGCACTTGAGTGTGTTCTGGTTTTGTTTCTTCAGTAAATATCTCTGGAAAGGACAGTACAGAGGAAAATTCCTCTCTTGGTTTATTTTACTTGCCCTCTGCCCCTCATATAGATTCTTAAAGGATGTGCTCCATTGGACTCCCAATTTGTGTCCTTTTTCTTGTAAAAATTACCTTTAAAGATTCCAATACCACAGGGTAGCCAGCAGTTTTTAGTGGTATTCTGGAGTGATAGATCTTTGGGTGATAGGAATTGATTTTCCTCATCTTGACACATGAAGTCTCAGAGGGTGCAATTATTTCATTGCCTGATTGTACCTAGCAGAGCTGGCACAGAGAGCGTGAAGGTGAAAGCCTTGGGGAGACGCAAGAATGAGCGGGGGTTCTCCTCGGATAAGCCTGCTTTGCCGTCTCTTGAGAGAGATGTTGCTGGCGAAACAATTGAGACAGAATTGTCTCAAGTCAAAGGTACAGCTTGTGTAGCTTGGGTCTGTTTCATTCTAACACGAAGGTTCAAATGGTCTCGTGCAGGCTCCCAGCAAAGCTATTGCCCTCGGCTGCTTGGGGGCTGCATGTCTTGCATTGGTCACTGGTTTAGTGGACTCCATGTTACTTTCAACCTCAAACCAGTGATCATTTTGTTTCTGAATCATTCACAGGACTTTTGGTCAAGAGATTCTGCTGCTGCTAAAACAACCTCCATCATAGCAATGAGCATTTACCAAGAATACATTTTGCCCACACTGTGGTATTCATGCTCCATTTTAAATGTCTGCCCTGCTACAGATTAAAGGGGGAGGGAGGCACTTTTTGACAAAAGAAAAGGTTCAGCAATTCCTATGAATGGTCGTGAACAGTGATGTGCATGCTGGTGAGGGGGGAGCACTTCCACAGGCTGTGTGTTATTGTTTTTCCACAATTTACTTTAAAAAGGGAAATATTCCTTTGGCTTTATTGTTTCACCATCATGGGGTAGAAATAAGTAAACAACACTGAGAATGCTGCGACTGCAGATGAAAGCAAAATAGAAAAATCTTGGATTAGCATGAACTTCCATCTGCTTTCCAAGGGACTGATCTTGGGAAAAGCATAACCGACACGGAGCTCCGTGAACCCACGGAGCGTGAATTCTGTGACCCAAAGGGTACAAAGGGAGCGTGTCCTTTATGGAGTCAGAGGTCATGGGACACTGAGTGGTTGTGGATATTCATACTCAGAAAACAGGAAATGTCACAGAGAGCACTGGCTCCTGACTCAGGCTGTCTGAATTTAAATCTTAGCCCAGCCGCTTACTAGCTCAGTGGCCTTGTTATATATATTTTTTTTAATTAAAAAAAAGAAAAAAGAATAGGTCCTCCTGGATCTGAGTTCCCTCATCTTTAAAATGGAGATAATGGAGCCTTCTACCTAGGGTTGTTCTGAGGACTCAATGGGAAAAGTCATGTAAAGCACTGCCCATTGCAGGTACTAGGTAAATGTTGGATATTACGATTATTGGATATCTTCCAGTTTGTTATTTTTATTGCTATCAATATTATTTAGCTTATTTATTTCACCATAAGTAAAGTATAAGAAAAACTCACCAAAAAATTATTTAGGCCTTAACCTATTTAATCAATTCTTAGATTTACTTTTTTTTTCACATTTTACTATCTCTGGATTCTAAATTTATCTTACAATAAATGACATTATTGAGTTATCGTTGGCCATTTTTTCTTTTTACATTTAAACATCTCAAAACCGGAATGAATCTTCTAAGTGATGGCTTATTAGATTTGATGATGTATGATCACAGACAAAGCTACCTCCTTAAGAACTTATGGTTGCATCAAAAACTGTAGAGACTTTATTCATACCAGTAATGAACCTGTAGCATACTTTTCAATTGCACGCTTTATTAGACTTTGTCCAGCAAATCTCATAAATTTTATGTGTTAATTGCAGCAAATTGCATTGCCTTTAGGAACACATAAAACATAACATTAAAACCAAAAGAACTGAACACCCCACAAGAAGAAACCAGTAGATGAAGGAAGTTTTCAGGCACGAGATGAAAGCTGAATGTATAGATGGATGTGTGTGGGTGAATGGATGGAATGTAAGTTGGAGAGACATTTTGTAAAACAAATAATATTCAGAAGAGCCTCCCCATCCATGTGCATTGGATGGTCTCTGAAAGGAATACTTTTGGGAAAAAGAAGATCTAAAGTTATATTCTTCCTTTAACACCTCCTCTGAGAGAGAGAGAGAGAGAGAGAGAGAGAATGGAGGCAGGGAGGGGGCACTAAAGGTCTAAGGAGAGTAGACACCATTGCATACTTATATTCATAAGGGCGGTCTTGGTTGGAGAAAACAGCTGCATTTGTTTTGTACTCCCTACCTGTTATTTGTCAACTGTTTAAACTGTAGGCCAGCGAATCTTTGCTGATATGTTTTCCAGAATCAGAGCAAAAGGCAATATTTCTCTGAAAGTGGATGCTAAATGCTTTTACTAAAACCAGGGGATTCTAGCCATCTCCATGTCCAGCTCAGAAATCCTAAATATTGGTTGTTAGACCTGATGTATAGTCAGCCAGCCTGCTTTGGTAGTGTTTCTCTGCACAATATCATAGAAGAGATTTTCATTTCCGTAAAATATCTCAGGGGACAGGCAATTTGCCTATGTTTTTACTACAGTAAATTGACCAATGCAGAACACAAAACTGAGTTTCAGGTGCTGAGCAAAGACCTGTCCTATTCTGAACAATAAAATAATAGTTCTTCCTTTACGTAAGTCTTACATATTGAATTGGGTAAGATCTTTAATTGTAAGGAAGAGTTTTCCATGCCATTGTAAGAAAGGATGGCAGGCCATTGTAACACTATGGACCAACCCTGACTTGGAGAGCCATCGAGACAAGGCAACTCTTGCCTTTGCCTCTCACAGACCTTGTCTTGTTCTCCCAGATTATCAAGCTCCTGCAAAGTGTAGGTCTTTAGAGTCTTTTCCAGATTTCTACAAGGGGAAAATTCCTAGTCCTATGAAATGCAGCGTTCCATTTCCTACAGCCCCATTAGCAAAAGTGAAAACACTGTGAATTGTACTAAAGAGCATTTTTGGCACAAGTGGAATAGATATACCCACTATAATGTTTAAGTGAATGTGAAAAATATGATAACATGCGTGACCAATAAGTATGTATAAAACACTTCCAATATCTTGAACTTTTCTGACCTTTCCTTACTAAAGAAAGAAGCTGCTAGAATATAGAAAATATACAGTTAAATCTTCATCAGTTTTCTGATTTGTAAAATAAGGGTGTTTGAATTGGATGATTCCCTAAAATGTCTCGCACACTGCAGTATTCAGATTCCATGATTTAATGTGGTCCAAGCCAAGTCCCTATAATCTTGAGAATGACCCACTAAAGATGGCAGGGCTCTCCTTTTCACTGATAGAGTTGCAGCAATCTACCCTCTTGGTATTTGTATGCCTTACCATAGACTTCAAACCCAATGGTATGTCCTTTCTCCTGAAATACATCCCCTCATCTGGATCTTTTCTGGGGTTAAGATCACATGGTGCAATCATCTGTCTCCAAATACAAATAATCTAGTTTTCTTTTTCTACCGAATCAGGGAAAATAAAGCAAATGGTACCACCTCATGTATGTGAAACATTACTTGTGCTGGTCCAAATTTCAGCTCTAACTTTCTGCAAGTTTGCCTCTACAGCAGAGGATTAAGCCTCTCAGCAGATCCTTATCCAGATGGTGAACTCCCAGCCTGGCCTCCAGGCTCTGCTCCACCTCAACCTCTAAAGATACGGAGGGTTTCACTTTCTGTTATCCAAGGTCTGACTGCTTTTGCAGCCCACACTCACTCTGCTTTCCCCGGGCGCATTCTTAGTAGGTTGTAGACTCGTTACATTTTGCTCTTCTTGCTCTTTGAGGGGCTTACTCCCTGCTTGCTCATGTGGAAAAGTGAGGTGCAAGCGCTCAGCCTGTCACTGATGTCCCACATGCCTTGGTGAACAGGGCCCTGCACCCCACACGAGGGGTGAAACATGAAAGGAGCTGGCTGTTTTCATCCAACATTCCTTTAGCAGATTAGTTGGCATGTTCAGAAGGTGAAGGCAAATTTAATCCAGAAAAGTATAAAAGTTCATGACCAGTCCGAGCAAATAACTGAAAAAAAAAATCCTTTAGAAGGCTAAGGAGAGGTTCAAGGCTATTTCAAACACATGATCATCTTTTTAAATGTCAAATTCCACCCGCTAAACTTCATGCTGTTGTTTTTACCACTCTCATATTTTTTTAACATTATACTTAATTTTTCTATTTTCAAACAGTGAAATCCCATCCCCCTGCTTTCTCCCGAGGCCAAACATAATATGAAAATACCACAGAGACTCAGTGGCTAAAATGTAAACGGACTGTGGTAACACACACTGACTGCTCTGTGTCTTTGCTTTGGAAAGCTTGTGTTCAGAGCTTTAGGTGTCCTCCCTTTAACGTGGAAGAAGAAAAAGCTTTCCCTTTAAAACACCGCCAGTGTTTATTTTGTCCAAAAAATCAAAAGGGTCCCAGTTTTATTTTGGTGAGGTTATCTTATACTTGGCAATGTAAGTTGTTGCCTCTTTTTGGAAGCCTGTTGACTGCAGGAGGTATGGAATTAGGAAGGCATGGTTGAAGCATTATAAATTTAAAAGTTAAAGCTAGTTATCGCAACAGTTCAAGGTTTTGTAACAATATTCTTGAGGCCTACAGACAGTAAAACAAAGTAGCAAAAACATTGCCTTGGAATCAAAAGACCTGAGTGCTGGTTTCCATTTTGGATCTGTCTAGCTGTGCGACTTTGAGGAGATCCCAAACTTTCTGCAAATCAGATTTCCCATCTATAGAATAAGTAAGTAACACTAGAGCAGTGCCGAGAGAACGTCCAGCCCTTAAAATTCTCTGAGCGTTCCTCTTTCATTGACTTCAGTCAGAGAGTCGTGAATTTTCAGTTCGTACTGCATGGGAATTTTCCCTTGATCTGGTAAGCTTGGTTAGATCTCAGCTTCACAATTTGGAGTTTTGTTTTCCTCTTGTCTTTGTATTAAATTTCTCAACATGATAGTCCATTAATTCCAAACCCCTTTGTGTTTAAGGAAAAGATTCTTCTGTGGCTTCTTCAGTTTATGCAAGAACAGGGCATCTCATTGGATGAAGTGGACCAGGATGGGAACAGCGCCGTGCACGTAGCCTCACAGCATGGCTACCTTGGGTGCATACAGGTACACAGGCCCTGCTGCTTTGGAGAGAGAAATGAGTTTATCAAGTGATAAAACAAAACAAAAATGGAAATTGGGAGAATGGATTAAACTAGCTTTTTCTATTGCAATAGATAATAAGGAATTATATTGATATATCTGTACTTCCAGAAATCCACATAGACTTAGGCATAATAGCCCTACAAGATTCTCCTTGAGTGTCACAGGATGTTGAAAGGGACTGTTTCTCTTTTCTCAACATTACTTTAAACCCCGCTGCTGAGGACAATAGATATTAAGTACCCCCGTATTCTCAAGGCAGCAGGAAATCAAAACCAGACTGACATCTCTCAGTCTCTCAATGGCAGACTGTTCTTGCTACCATTAGCAGCACCCTTCTTCCCCAGGTGTATGAAAAACAGGACAGATTTTTTTAAAGAATGGATTAGAAGAATTCTTTGGAATAGTAGGCTAGAGAGAATGTGTAGGACTGAGCTTCTCACATGCCCAGAATTGATTACGGGGGGACCTCAGATATTGATCCCCTCAGCTGTTGGGCAGGCTCGCCATGGCCTTGGTTGGCCAGCCACTCCACCCCCAAGCCTCAGATGGACTCATCTTTGAAGCCCAACATGCCTTACAGGTATTACCATGACCTGTGTGTGCAGTGATGTATAAAGGTTAGGGAGCAGAGCCACAGGAGAGGAGAGGGAGGTTCTTCTCCCTGCCCCAAGCCACAGGAGGGGGCATCCAAGAGGGCAGCTTAGAGAGCGCGGGGTTCCTACAAGGGGAGAGAGCATCTCACCTCTCAGGGAATGCCAGCTGCTAGAAGCTGAGCCAGACCTGGGGCCGCCATGCTAACAGCACATGGTAGGATTGCCCGACGAGGGTCTTCAGAAGTTTGGGGCCGTGTGGATGTAAAACCAGATAGACCTTTTCACCCAGAAAAATGTTAAGGCCCTGAGTGACAAAGAAGAGAGAAGGGATAGCCGAAGAGTAGGGGGGAAAGCAGGCGGAAGAGGAGTAGCCCTGCAAGAAGAAGAAAGGCTTTGAATTAGAATCCAAGTTAAAGTTTAGCTTTGGCCTGGAATTTAATTTATGAACAGTGATCATAATTGCCAGAATCAGACCTATCACACCATTCTGACTAAAAATGACCCAATACCTATGGCTTTGTTCCCACATATTCCAGAGATGTGAGGAAAGGGCCATTGACAACTTATGGCTGACGGCCATGATTAGAGAAAATACTTTTACTTCCCTAAGTTCATACTCTTCAAAATATGTTATGTGTACATAACAACTCCAAGAAAGCAACACTTTTTTTTTTACCTTATGTGTCATTTCTTTTATTGCAAACTCAATGTGCTCATTTAACAGGCACTCAGGTCCTACTGTGTGGAAGGTAAACTGTATCTAATAGAGAAAACTGGACAGTGAGAACCGGTTGCTCAGGAAAGAGAGGACTCGGGAAATGACAGGAGAAGATATGGGAAGGCTGTAAGTGTAAAAGGAAAGAGATTCATAAAAACAAAAGGCAGAGGTAACAGCAGAAAGCTCTCTGGAGTGTCTCCTTACAGGCAACTGCTCTTTGGTTGATAGGAAATATTCCAAGTGTCTGGAAGTTTACCCACTATAGTTCGCTAGCATGCATCTTTTCATTTAAGGCACCAAGTTGTAAAAAGAGTGATGAGAAATTGGAAAGTATAGAAAAGAGAGAAATTTAAATTATCACCAGGATCTGCAGAAAGATGAAAGGAGTAGCATTAATGTTTGTGGAAGAAAAATATTGGAATAAAAACCGAAAGCTATGTTTTTCCATTTAATGAAACACTCTAATATTTAATAGTCTTGAAATAACTTCTTTATCAGCTAATAAATGACAGAAAGCCAAAGAAAACCAGCTGATATCACTAATTCTGTTTGAGATTTCAGTTATATTTTTTTCTTTTTAATATGTGAGGAGAGGCAGTCTGTCCTTTCAGAACATTCATCACTCCACTTAACACAAATGATGTTTTTGGCACTGGATACCATGGATGTGGAAACTTGGATAATCTTGGAAGCGTGTCTCTACACTGAGTGAGAGATTTAAAAAGAAATACAAAGAGACTGAGAGTAGAAAAGGGGGGGTGAGCAGTGTTCCTTCTTAGGTGAGAAAGGGACTGAGTTTGGAAAACACTGGAAACAAAACTGCAGAAGCCAGAGTCAAGGAAACAATAACAGGGTGTGTTTACATTGAGTCTCTCGGAGAGCCATAGAGCCCAGGGCCAAGGTGGTCTCCGTGACACGCTCGTGAGGCAGGTGGCCATGACTTTGTGGCAGACTGACCTTTCATGGTGAATGGTCATAAACCAAAAGGAAAACGAAGCTTCTTAACCACCTCTGAGTCTGAGTAGTCTAGGAATTTAAAAATTACCAGTATTTCTTGTGGGAAAGACATCACCTATTACTAAAATAAATCCAGAGGCCTATAATCTGATAGTGTCAAAGAATATGTCAGATTGTGGTAGTGGATTAGTATTGATGTAACAGCTTTTTGTGGAATCTAATGTCATCACAGTATAAATACAAAGAATTTTCATTTTTAATTAATGATGTCAACTATACTCCATCAAATCTCTCTCCTGTACTAGTGATACATTGGCCAGATTCTGTAACATTTTGCTTGTTTTTAACTGTTCACATTTACTCCAAACCAGCGGAGAACCTCAGCCTTATTTCTGATTCAGAGCATTCTCATCCCCAACCCAGATTAGACTCAGGGCTTAAGGGACTTGGCATGGGGATTGAACATGATCAGCTTCTTACATTCCATAGTAGCTCCTATTCCCCTCTCTCTTCTGGGCCCCGATGTTGAGGACAAACAGGAGGTATGGAGAGCAAAAAGTCAACTGTCTCTTGGCCTAGCTGGGGAAAGACATGGCACTCTCCTTGAAAGTTGTCACTGCTTGTTTAACTCACTAGGGTTTGCGCTGATGCTCTCTGTGGGCAGCCTTCGGATGCTGACTTCTGATGGGTGTGGTGGGTGCTGTCATCAGAGGGTCCCCTGGAGCCTCCCCATGGTACCTGACATGGGAGATCTGGCCCCAACCTTACGCCCTCCTTACTCATACAGTTCCCTCCACCTGTGTTGCATCCTGCTGTCTCTTGCTGCTGGAGAACCCTCTCCTTTTTAGTGGGGTGCAAACAGGCTCACACCAAACTCCCTTCTACAGTGTCTGCTCAATCTACGGGGCATATCCTTGCCATGGTGTGTGGTGGGAGTGTGGGCTGCTTCACAGCCTCTGTCATGCCGTTTCTCTGCAGTTGTTTTATTCTTGGTCAGATAGGTTCAGCAACAGATCAAGTGTGCTCCTCAAGGATATAGGAAGAGGTGAACAAAATTCCCCTCCCTCCTCCTTACAGGCATCCCAAAACTTTATGAGCCCACCCTTTGAAAGAGACAGTGCCTCACCACACACACTGCCCTGCACTCCTCATAAAGGAAAGAACTGTAAGGATACAGCCAGCTCTTCCCTTCCCAGTCTCCTTCTGAGGCTGGGCTGGGGTTGATAGCAGTAGGACTGGACCACTGCATCTTTGTAGTCTCCAAAGGGAGGTGTTTGATATCGGCTGCCGGAAGCTCACCAGAGGCGTTCTTATATATGTGGTGGTACCTCTCTCCCCTACCCCATCTTGCCGTAAGCTCTGGTAGCTAGTTTTGGAATAACAGAAAAAGTTCCATTCAACCTTCTGTTAGTCAATTAAAAGTAATGTTCAGAAGGAAGTTCTGATATGATCGCATGTCTCTGCACTTTCTGACAGACCCTGGTTGAATATGGAGCAAATGTCACCATGCAGAACCATGCGGGGGACAAGCCCTCCCAGAGCGCCGAGCGCCATGGGCACACCCTGTGCTCCCGGTACCTGGTGGTGGTGGAAACCTGCATGTCGCTGGCCTCTCAGGTGGTGAAGTTAACCAAGCAGCTAAAGGAGTAAGTGCCTGTGCGTTCCCTGAGAACAAGGTCTGGCTCATCATTGTTGTGCGTAGGTGTCAGCCAGGTGCTTTGGTAAGCTCCACCCATGTGGGTTGTACGGGGACTTTCTCGCATTCTCCTCATCTTCTTTTCTTCCTCTGTCCTGAATCCTCACAGCCGGCATTCATGCTGAAGATGCCATCTCTGCAGGGGCAAGATGATATTGAAACAAACAAACGGGATTTAAACCACGGTGGACAAGGAGACCCCCTCTCCATGTTCCCATCTCAGGGCCAGATTACATAGCAGATGTGGAAAGCACACTCAGGGCCATCATTCCCCAACTTCTGTCCTTAGTATTCTAGGAAATTGGAAAGTGCATGAGAGAGAGAAAAAGGCTACATAGAGATGGGTCAGTTTCTCAGTTTTCTCCAAAAGAATAATGTATAATTGGGTAATTACAGACAGGTACTATGGTAACTATCTCTACTTTGTATAGCCACAGTATACTCTACCCTTTGGGCTCCAGGACACAGAAAGGTCCAGGAGACAGGATGGAAAACACTATAGTTTTTCCAGTCCACAATTCTCAGCCGGAGACATCTTGAGTGTCTTTTCCTATTAGAGTACCTTTACCAACTCTTTATAGTTAGTAAGCATAGTTACTATTTAGAAATGGCAACCTTCAGCTCTGTTAGAAACCCTAATCTACAAGCCTAGGTATTATGGCTTGAATTGTGCCTTCCAAAAGAGAAAAAAAAAACCAGTGTGTTGGAGTCCTAACCCCTAGTACCTCAGGGAGTGACCTTATTTGGAGAGTTTTCTTAACAATGAGATTGTACTACACACAGTATTTCATAACTTCCTGTTTAATTTAAGTAAAGTATGAGGTCTAGCAATTAGGTTCACGAACTCATCCTAGAAAAAGTGCTACATAC